AAGAGATGGCAAGACCTGTTGGGGAGGAGGGTTAAGACTCAGGGGTTAAGAAGAAAGAAGGGCCAGGCCACAGCGGCACAGGCCTTTACTCCCAGCACTTGGGAGGCAGAGGTAGGTGGATCTCTGTGAGTTCAAGACCAGCCTGGTTACAGAGTGAGTTCCAGGACAGCCAGGGCTGTTACACAGAGAAACCCTGTCTTGAAACCTTCACCCCTCCCCCACAGAAAAAAGAAGGAGGAGGAAGAAGGAAAGAGGAAGGAGTAAGAGAAGAAAGCAAGGGAGCACACGGGAGCACATGGGAGGGGCAGGGACTTGTTCTGGGGCAGAGATGTCAGATGAGGCACAGAGCTCAGTTGGTGGGGTGCTTGCTTAGTGTGCATGAGCTTCTGGATATGACCCCCAGCATTCCATAATTAACATGCTGGTACCACCTATAGCCCACAAACTCAGCAGGTGGAGGTGGGAAATCAGAAATTTAAGGTCATCCTTGGCCATACATTGAATTTGAGACCAGCCTGAGCTATATGAGACTCTACCTCACATAGAACAAGTCTCTTTCCCAAAGAAAGAAATTAAGAAAAAAGGGGAAATAAAAATGTGAAAATAACGCAGTAGGGGTGGGGCCTAAGGTCTCGGGGCAGGCAGCTGATGACAGAGAGAGAGATGAAGCCAATCAGACAGAGAGTACCTAAAACACTCTCCGCATGAAATACATCTTCAGAGATGGCACAGAGGTCAGAGGTCAGAGGTCAGAGTTCCTTAGCTTGTCTCCATGGTGATACTTAGGGGTGAGTTCCCCTAGGAGTGCTGTGTTTAGGGGACACTGGTTCTTGGCATGGGACAAAAGAGACTGCTTGTGAATGTTGCCTAAGGCAGTGGGGGGATAGCTCTGGGGTCTGTTGGTTGCCTATAAATTGAAGGAAGAGTTGACAGAGAACGGGTATCTACTCAGACCACTAGGACCCCTGGGCTGCAACACAGAGTGGGGATGAGGCCCACAACCTGGGTTACAATCAGAGCACAGCCATGTCCCCTCTGTGGTGCCTGGGAGCCTTGAGGCTGTGATAAAGAGGCTTAGGGATCTGAGTAGTTTGGGCTCCCATGGGCTAGCTCACTGTTACTGGCTTGCATAGTAGGCTTTAGACTAGTTTATCACAAGCTCCCTTCCCCCACAGCACCTCCCAAAAACAGGGCCTGGGAAATTCAGCATACTGTGCTTCTGGCATCTGGTATGAAATCTTCTGTTGCACTCCTGGCTTGCGGAAGGAATAGCAGCATCACCTGGTTCAAGAGCACGGTAGCTTCATTCTCTCTTATTTATTGTTCATCAGAACCACGAATAATAGCAGTTGGTGAAAATTCCCAAACCAGATAATATTTTTTTATGGACATGTGCCAATTTTCTTTAACAGTTTGTTTCAAAAGGCTTTTGCCAGGCAGCCTTCCTTCCTTTTCCTGTCCCAAATCTACCATCTTACCTTGGTCTAAGCCTGTCCTTTGTCCTTCCTCATATTCAACCACAGTCTCTCTGAGTTTTCCATCCCCTCTCCCTATGCTCTGTGAGAGACTAGGCTCTGTCAACGACCTCCTTTCCTTGCACACTCTCTCTCTTTCTTTTCCTTCCTTCTCCCTCCTTCCCTCCCTCCCTCCCTCCCTCCCTCCCTCCCTCCATCTTTCCTTCCTTTTTTGTTTTTTTTTTTTCAAGACAGGGTTTCACTGTAGCCTTGGAGCCTGTTCTGGAACTCACTCTGTAGACCAGGCTGGCCTCGAACTCACAGAGATCTGCCTGCCTCTGCCTCCCGAGTGCTGGGATTAAAGGTGTGCGCCACCGCCGCCCGGCATTTTTTTCTTTCTTTGCTAAAGAATACAGGTCACAAGCATTGAGAAGTGATCATGGATCTTTGATTGTCAAAGGAACTTCTCTGGAAACTGACTCCACAAAATCCCCCTCCGACCTTTGTATGTGCACCATGGTGTGAACACTTCCCCGTATCTCATTCCCTCCGCCTCTCTCAATAGAATAAGATAAAGCATTTTAAAAACCTCTCTAAGCCTTTTCTGCCCTGTTGGACACTAGCTTCCTGGATTTTCTTCGAGGCGGAGTAGAATGCTTGTGGACCTCTCTGACTCTTCTTCATTTCTCCCTCTTGACTTTTCCTCCCAGCAGAGCCCATGGAAGAAGACCTAGGAGGCTCCTGCTGCCTCCATTTTTTTTTGGTCCACATCCTCTTCTCAGCATACCAGTTGCTTGTTGTCAAGGTCACTGCTGACCTTTGGGCTACAAAAGCCACGTTCCTTGAATGCCTCCTTAGGTTCACCTTCTCCACACTGCCCTGTGGTGGAGGTCTCTTTCAGTCTTGAATGGTTCTTCTCAGGCCCCCTCACCTCTGCTCTAATTTTCCTGACATCACACTGTCCTGCCATGGTATCCTAGACAACCTCTTAGCTACTAGGAGCCTGGGTATCTACATAGTGTTTCGCCAGAGTCTTCCTAATTGGCCCATCCTATCACACAATCGCTGTGCAGGAGACCCCAGCCTTCACCATCCTCACTCCAAGCCTGCAGCTCATGCCCTGTGTGCCACACCTGGGTGTCTTAACGGTGATCTCCAGTGTCCCAGGAAAACAATACTCCTTGTTCCTCTCTTTTACCAACCTCTTTCTATTTTCTGTGCACAAATCCAGGCTCAATAACCACACGCAAAGATCAGACCATATGATTCTATTTCCAAAGTATATTCCAACCCAGGACCCTTTCATTGTCCCCACGGTCAGCACGCCACACCAAATCACCCCATGATTCCGCGTCTGGATAATTTCAGCCAGCTCCAAAATGGCCATCTAACCGCAACTCCTGCCTTCTACAATCCATTCTTCACGCCTGGCCCGCATCCCGCATAAAACACAACCCCACTTAGCACCCTCCAAATTCTCGCATGCCAAAATGTAAGTAGTTTGAATGTTTCCAGGCACTATCAAATAAAGTCTATGAAGAGCGAGTGCATATTAAGAAATAGCATCTTCAGAAACAATGCTATCTATTAGTATTAAATTCTTATTTATATAAGTCTAGATTTTTTTTAATAAATGAAATACTGTCATTTTACATAAGCACAGACATGCGAAACCACAGAGTGCTAGGACAGAAAAAAAATCAACAGAGCAGCTCCTGAAAGAGTTTGCCTTCACACTGCGTGTATTTGTATTTGCTGGAATCAAATCCTCTTTTACCTAGTGGACGACTAAATGTGGCTTATGATAATGATCTTATGAAAATATATGTATATGTAGTAAATGGTTCCTCAAGTTTTGCCTTTATTAAAATACGTCAGATTTAGCTGTAAAGTCACATTCTCAGTACCCGAGACAGCACAGGAGAGATCTGGGTTTTCCGAATTTCAGATGGAAAGACTCATCCGTGAGAGCTCAGGGGCAGAGAGAAAACGACGCAGAGCTGAGCGGTCAGTCTTAACGGCGCATTCGCCAGCAACGGCATTTTAAAGGAAAATGCTGAGGCATATGTAAGGACTTTGGGAGAACATGACAGGACAGTCTACATCTGAGTCTGAATGGGAAGGCCACTCTTTGTTTGAACCAAGACTGTAATTTTACGTGCCATCCCCAAGGCAGAAAACACCACAGAGAGCATAGCAGAGGTCCTGCAGCTGGAACCAGGAGGCTTCCTGGTGTGGCAGAAGCGTCTGGCTACTTTTCACCAACCTGACCATCACCTTACCCCATTTCCAGCCACCCATAAGCAAAGACACAGTTGGAACCTATGTGCCTGTGCCAGATGCCAAATTTCTTTTACTTATGGAGCTACTCTGTTATTCTGAGCTCCTTTTCAGAAACTGTACAGATAGTTCTGGCTATACTGGGATGCTTATGCTTATCAGAAGCAAAAATCATACTAGAGGATGAAAATATCAGCTCTTTAGAAGGACATTGTTAGCCAGGCAGTGGTGGCACACGCCTTTAACCCCAGCACTAGGGAGGCAGAGGCAGGCGGATCTCAGTGAGTTAAAGGCCAGCCTGGTCTACAAAGTGAGTTCCAGGACAGTCAGGGCTATGTAGTGAGAATCTGTCTCAAAAAAAAAAAATTGTTATCCATTAACGTGATACGGAATCCACAGGATGGTATTTTATGGGGATCAGGGAAGAGAGCAGCAGGGGCACCAGGCCTTTACGCCAGGGCAGGGCAAGGCCTGTTTACACAGTGGATGCTGCACTTGGAGGAGAGGCCTGCAAACCACCTGCCAGGTGGCGAAAGCTCTTTAATATGATACTGACAGGTATACGCATGTGCATATGCATATAAACATGTACACATACTCTTTGGCTATCACTGGGACAAGCATGACTCTCCCAGAAAGCTTAGTGTACAGTTTGATTCAAATCTGCCACACCAAACCCCCAAACACCATGTTAAAGAAGTGCCAATCCAACAAGAGACAACTCGCACCGGCTGCGCTCGCTCACGCTCCAGCACAGGTAAGGCTGGCACAGGAGTGATGGGTAGCAGCTGGCAGAGAGAAGGATGTAAACCACACTGTATCTTGCTTGATACAACACACAGAATGCTGGCCCGTTACTTACAACACGTACTTTCTTGTGATCAGATGGACACGAAGCCTAAGAAAAACCTGAGTTCTGTTTCTTATCTTCTGTTATTCCCACAGAGGGAGTTATGCGCCATAAGCTTTCCTCTTGGCTCATGTAATTTATGTTTTTGTTATATGCGACAAGGCTTTAAAAACATACCAGGAAAGGCACCGCCAACGTTTCCGAGAGACAAACCATGTCCCCGATGGTCTGCCACCTAGATATCCATAAAGGCATCTCTAACAATCCCATTGTCTTTACTGTTTTTAGTAAGCACAAAAGAAGCATCTACAGGGCTAGATATATTAGAGTTTCGACGCTGCTTTCCGGTAAAGCAACCTCACTTGAAATGGGTCCACCTCTCCGTATGGAAAATGTCCGAGGAAACGTTTTCTTACCTGGGAATATTCAAAGTCGGTGATAGGGGCTATGCTCTTGATATAATCGGACCGGAACTGGTTTTCAGGGTTGGCCAGTGGAACCGGAGGTATTATAGTACTCATTGCTGAAACGATTGTCTGAAATGGGATGAAGGGGGAGAGTCAACAGAGAGATATAAAACGTAAGGGTCCCATGGAAGATGATCAGAAATACATAGTTTACATACTTAGTTTACACAGTCTGAGTCCAGCCTACTCAACACTCAGGTGAACAAACATTAAGGGAGGCCTTACCACGATAGCATCTTTGACATTTTTCCTGATGTCCAGAATTTTCTGCTTCTTTTCCCTGCATTGAAAGAGGGTTGTTATTAATTTCATTCACAATAGAAACCCGTTAAGATTTTAAAACTTCCAGTAGACCGAGTTTCCCAGAGGTCAGTATCAACCTCAAGGCGGCTGTTAAGCTTTTTCCTCCTAAATGAAAACACTGCCCCCGTTCCAATTTGTGCTCCAAGCAAAGGGAATATATCTGCTTCAAACCCTACAGCTTCAAACACACATCAAGGTCATATAGTCACAATTATTGCGGATCTCGCACACAAATACAACTAGTTATACTCAAACCTATTCCTTATACTGATAGTTATAGACTGAAGTAGATGTAAGTGGGCTGTACTATAGAGAAAGGGTGTATTGCGATATAGTTAGGTTTCATATAAGTGGTTCTATATTGGTGGATTCAATCAACTGAAGACCCCCCCCCCCCCAAGGTTTGGCAAAAAACAAAAAAACCTGTATTTGCATTGAATGCGTACAGGCATTTTTTCCCTTGTGACTGTTTCCTAAACCACCCAACATGATACAGTCAGTCTTTTATTAACATGTTGCAGTAGGTACCATGAATCATTCAGAGGAGATACGAAGCGAATGGAAAGATATTCATAGGTATTTTGCAACTACTACACCATTTTGTGCAACAGATTCCAATATGCTTGGGTCTCGAGAGCCCCCTCTCCTCCAGATCCTAAGGGATAAAGGATCAATGTATTGGTTCAGCACCACGCCAGTATTAGAGACATGTTCCCCTAAGAATCCTAACAAATTAAGTATTTTGGCAAGCTGTTTTCTTTTTAAACTAGACATCGCCAAAGAAGGGCTTGCCTAAATGGAACAAACTCTATGCTAGGTTCCTACTTCCTCACCACCCCAGTCAAAACTGCGTGGAGAAAGTACTTCTGAGAAAAGATGTGGTTGATACAGAATTTAGAAAGCAAATCCAAACTGGGCATTCTTACTCGGGGTTGAAGCCGTTGACGTGCAGGATCCTCATCTGTTTGACGATAGTGCTTTTCCCGGACTCACCAGCCCCTGCGGACAAACAGAAAGAAGGTGGTCATCCATGTCCTCCTATCAGGCCAGGACCATACCTGTCGCTACCCAACGTGTTCTTCCTTTACGTGGGGTCTTTCGAGTACAAAGCAGATGTGGTTACAGTAGTTCGCCCTATAGCCAAGCTCCGGCGCCTGGTGGTGCGCAGTCTGGTTTGCTTGTGCCAGTGACTGTGAGCCCGGCACTGTGCACTCCAGGACGCTGGGAGCTGCCAGGGTCAGAGCGACAGTGCACCCTGGCCTTACCCAGAAGCAGCAGGCGGTGAGTCGCTTTGTAAGCCAGGCGCTCTTTCTGCAACTGTTTCTCGATCTTTTTGTTGGCCTCGCGGCGTTCTTTTTCATCTACACCCTGATCTTCCGCGGTCTTGCTGCTGTTGCCCAAACACCCCATGCCTGCTGACTCGCACTCCCGTCAGGCAAGTAGGAAGACGCACGAGAGCCAGAGAGAACCCGAGATGTGCGCTCCCGCGGACGGTTTCTCCACTCCCCGAAGCTGAAAGAGATGGCCTAGTCTCCCGGGGATCTGGGATCACACCGGCTTCTCCCTCCCCTGCCCACTGCAGGCTCCCGGCTAAGCAAAGGTGCCGGGAGGCAGTAGCGCCCAGGGAAACGCTCCTTAAAGGCAGGTCGTCTTAGGAACCTGCTGGGGAAACGGCTTGCGGAGCCCGAGACGGGCTCTGCTGGAGACCGCTGGGTGGCGCTGTGCCTGGGCTCCGCCTCCGCCTGGCTCAGCACCGCCCTACGGAGGTGCCAAGTTGGGGGGTGGGGTGGGGGTGGGGGAACTGTGCGTAATCGAAAAGCCAGGTCTTGCCTGCGTAGTGGCTAAGCGCAGCACAAAAGGGTCAGAGCTCGTACCAAAGGGTCCCCACAGGGGGACTGTGGCCACCTGCGAGGTTGGCTTTTTTCAAGTCTGACGTGCTCATCCCCGAGGGTCATGCTCCCCTGGAAGGAGATGGAGGTGTGGCAGGGGTAGGAGTTGGTTTGGCGCTCAAAGGGGCGCTTCCCTAACCTGGTGAGTCACAGAAGGGACAGGGGCGCTTACACTCTGGCCCGTGTGTCTTCCTAGCACCCTGCGCCCCAGCGCATCTGGGTGCGCACTCCTCGCTCTCCTCCAAAGCCTCCTTGCTCCCAGCGGAGCAGGGACTTGGGATCATGCATATTCTATCAGGGAGGAGGATCGCTAGCAGGCTAACAAGTCACATCGCCTTTGCTCCCTTTGGCTTCTAGACTATTCCAGCTCGCCCCCGCTACCACCTTTCCAGCCCATCTTTACCTCCAGCCCCCGTTTTCCTCTGCTGTTCTGTCGAATAGTTACACGGCTTTTCTAGAACACATCATGGCTTTGAATTTGACCTTAGAGCAGAGGAATGGATGAGGACAAGAAACTGGCACCTGCTGGTCTTTTATTGTGACTAAAAATTAGAGCCCTTAGCTTTGTTAACCGCTACACTTTGTGTTCACAGTCCAAGTGCATGGGATGAGGAGAGCAAAAGAGGTGCCCGAGCGCAGGGATTGGACTCCAGCACTGAGACACGGAAGTGAAAAGGAGTCCTAGAGACCATGAGAAGTTGATGGTCCCCAATTTGGTGACAATTAGGTATTGAGCACGAAGTCTCCAGACCCCACATTTCCCCCCTGATACCAGCACACGACCTGGCCTGCGTCCCAGAGAGCAGACACCAACCGTGTTACTTTATCCCACAGTCAGACCATGCCTTCTTGGTTTCTTCCCTTCTCTCTGCTTCTCTTCTGGTTTCATCAGCTCTATCCACAGCTCCAATCTTTCTGTGTCTCTGTCTCTCTCTCTTCTGGTGGGGCCTGTTTTCCTAAAGCACGCAAACACACACCCACACTGCCCACTGCAAACTAAGACCTTCAGTCTCCCCTCCTTGGTTGTGCCAGTCTTCCATCTTCCAGGGCTCCAGTTCCACTCTCTCTCTCTCTCTCCTTCATCCTGAAAGTTCAACCCCTGGTACCCCAACAATGGCCTGAGTTCCTAAAGTTCAACCTCTGGTACCCCGACAATGGCCTGAGTTCCTAAAGTTCAACCCCTGGTACCCCGACAGTGGCCTGAGCTCCTACACTGACAATATCAGGGCATTTCTGGTCTCTGGAGTCTGATCCTCTCCTTGACTCTGGGCCTTTAGCAGCCACACAACATTACCATCTTTTGAGTTTTGCTCACGTCCTCTGCCTCTAGGCTCAGCCTTTCTCTCCAGACACACTTGCCTGTTATGACTGCCCACACCTCCAACCTGCTCCTTCCCCTCTGCTTTCTAGGGATTTTCTAAACCTCGAGGCAGGTTTGTGGTTTTCTTGCAAGCACAACACATTGCTGTGTGTGCTGGATGTTTCTAACACTCCTCTGCTGCTACTGTGGTCCCTGATCACCCGTCTAAGCACAATTTCAGCAGTACAAGCCTGTTCCCCTTGTCTTTATTCAAATGCAGCCAGAGCGACGTTGCCCTTGCACTGCTATTTCTATGTACTGCCTGCACACCCCTTCCCTGGTTCTTCTAGACCCTCCAGTAGCTTCTCTACTCTCCCTCACCCCTCCTTACTAACCAGGTGGGTTCAGGAGCCTTGTTGCTCTTCTCTTGGTGGGTGGCTAATTCCTGGTTACCCTCCTTGGCCTCATCATCTCCCTTGTAGACACGCTGTATTAGTAAGGGTTCTCTAGAGGAACAGAACTGATATAATGAATATATCTGAAAGCAGTGTATTAGGTCAGCTTACACGACACGGTCTGGGTAGTTTGACAAGGGCAGTCTGACAGTGAGAGGCTGAGAACCTGTTAGCTGCTCAGTCCACGAGACTGGAGGTCTCAGCTGTCCCACTCATGTGCGAGAGACCTGGAGATTCCTGGAGAGCTGCCGGGCTTTAGTTTATTTTAGGAGGCTGACAAAGCTCGTTCTAATAGCAAAGGAAAGCTGCAGAAACGGGATAAGTGAACTTGTCAGTGAGAGCGGGAGACAAGCAGGTGAAAAGCAAAGCTTCCCCTTCCAGTCCTTTCATCTGAGCTGCCTCCTGCAGGTGCCGCCCACATTTGGGCTGGGTCTTCCTGCTTCAAGCAACGTGATTAAGGAAGCCCTTCACCGGGGTGGCCAATGGCTTGCTGTTTGAGTCGATTCCAGATTCAGGCAGGTGGACAACCGAAATTAGCCACCGCACACACCTAAAGACCCCCCTTTCCTGTCTCCCAGAGCCCATGCTTCTCCTCCGTATCATCTGCCACACTGCACACAGTGGTTTGCTTTCTGCCACACTGTAAGAGCATTTGACTGTGGGTGCCATGAGGACCAAACTGGGCACCTCCTGCACCGGAACCCTCTGCAGTGTCTGAACCAGGGATTCACTGTGAATAGTTGTTGAATGCGAGAAGAATTCACAACAGTCAGAGACAATTCTGAGTCAAAGCCTGGGCTGTTGTGGCAGGGGTTTCAGGACCAACTTTTCAATTCATAAAGTATTTCTCTAGTGTAGCATCTTATTGAAAAGAAGAATGCTTTTTCTAAACGGCAAAAGCAACAACTTGGCTACGTAGGTAGACGTAAACATACAGCGCCACATTCCATGTTGAACTACATTAAAAGTTCTGTGTCTAGAGATGGCTGTCTAGCACAGTTGCCACATTTGTGAGTGTGCTAACACACGTATTGATCCAGGAGATACCATAGCTACCGGGGCAGGCAGAGAAGGAGGGTGAAATTAAAAGCACAGAATAGTGTGAGTAGATTTAAAAGGATCTGTCAATTTTAAAATGCCAAGACATTTATAAATTATTAAAAGAGATGGGAACAAAACACAGGTCACAAAAAGTTATAAAAGGGGAATTAAGTTAGATACCCCAAAACATATTTAAGGTAGTATGATACGCAGTTACTCAAAAAGTAAAGCAAAAGTCATTTGATCAGATATACAAATTAGGGTTATAAAATTTAAGGATTAAATACATCGATGTAATGAAGAACAGCACCGTACCCAGAAAGTTAGTAGATAATCAACATAATGATAACACATACATTGGAAAGGTAGCTCCTGGCCATTGAGTGATGGCTGGTACTGGCCTAAGTCCTGTCTCTAGGAAAAAAATTTAGTACAAAATATAGAGATTACTACCACCATCATTTCAAGTGCTCAGAGTGGTGACTTAAAAGAGTGACTGCTTGGCTCACACAGGCTCAGTACAACCTCTCATGGGTTCATCAGCACACCGTCCTAACTTGCGGACTCCGTAGTCTAAACGGTGAGAGTGCCTGCTTTGTCCAGTGATTTCAGTTTAAATGTGAGAAATACAAAACCAGCCTCAGCCTGTTATAGGCAGGAGCTCAAGGGCTCTGTGCCCTCCCTTCCTCCCTTCCGTCTTCCTTTCCTTTGGAACCAAGCCTAGAGACCTGGGCATGCAAGTGCTTTATTACTGAGTTACATCCTTGGTCCCCAAACTTCAGAAGTTTTAAATCCAATATTCTGCCTTTTGCTCTTATAGCCTGGAAAACTGACCCTCATCCATGTTTCCAAACTTTGAATCAGAATCCAGAAGACCCATTGGCTCATCGGGAGCCACAGAGCAGACCTGTAGGGTAACCCAGAAAACTGATTTGCAGCTAGGGCAAGGAGAGCATCTGTTGCTAGGCAACCGGAACACGGCAGCACTAGGAGGCTCTCCAGGCAAGCCACTTTTACCGGCAGGGTCTGAGGGCAGCTGCATGAGCCTTACCAGCAGAGGGCGCCAGCAGATGGGTTCAGGGAAAAGAGCAAGAAAGCAAGGCTCCGGAGCGAGAAAGGAATAGCATTTGAGGTCCAAAGACAAAGCTAACAAAGGGTGTTTCCCTCACTATCGAGGATAAAAACAGGTAGAGTGTTTCAAAAGTCTGACTTAAATGTCTTACTTGTCAGTTTTGCAAATTTAAAATAATGACTTAAAAAAATCTGTTTGCTTCAGCCCCTTTGACTGAAGACGGCAAACACCAAAGAGAATGA